TTTTGAGGGTATTTTTTTAAATATTTATTTATAGGGAACTTTCTTTTTTTTTTAAATCCTTCAAAATAAATATATTATAAACTTATAATAAAACTGTTTAGTTTATTTTTATTAATTTTTATTAAAAAGTTATTAAAGATTTTGTAAAAGTTTTAAATTTATATGTAATTCCCATACAAATTAAAAAATTGATATTTTGAAGCTCTAGATCTCAATACAGAAAAATTTTAAAAATCTAAAAATTTCAGATTAGATTCAAAACGATCTGAATTATACATAAATAAATTTTCAATAAATTCTATTCATAAATAAGAAAGTTAAAAATTCCATTTTTGGTGTAAAAAGTGGCCCAAAAGGGGGGTGGCCCGAAAGTAGGGTACCCGACTTATCTAAAAGATTAAAGATTAGAATCATAAAAATTATTAATGATTGTATTGAAATATATCTAATTCTTTATATAAACAAGTTTAAAAAGTAAATGAATAAGAAATATAATCTTTTGAAATTTTAATTCATTTTTAAAATTTATAGTTAAATAATAATTAATTACACTATAAAATACTATATATTAATTCTAATATTTTATAATATTTTACTTTTCATTGTTATACTTTTTAGAAATAGTGAGGTACTTTTAGTAGGGTAAAGCTTATAGGTTATTATAAATAGTAATTTTTAATATCTTAATTATATCTTTTAATTTAATAATCTCTAACGTAGTTTATTAGTGCGTGTATTATATCAGTACATGCACCATTCATTTTACATACAAAATTCGTCTGTGCGTAACCGTACACTTTCTTTCTTTATTAATATAATTTGATTTTTCCTAAAAAACTTTATAGTTATTTATATAAATAATAAGAATTTCTAATCAATTATTAGAAATATGATTTAATATAATAGTTATTTTAAAGAAAGTTTTTTTGTAACGAAAATCGTGACAATTTCAATCTTTTTTAAAATATAATGAAAATATTTATTTAAAAATTATATTTTTTGAATATTTAAATTATAATTTTTATCATGTATTTTTTCTTTCAAAAAATAATGATTAATTATTAAAATACAAATATTAAAAAAATCCTGATTTTAGTATAATTTTGAAGTAGTACATATACTGATATAGTACACGTACTAATAAACTACGTTAATTAAACATTAATAGCTTATATTTTTGCTATAACAACTTAAATTTATAATGAATTTATAATTAATTCAATTAATTCAAATATAACTTATAAAATTATGAAATATATAGCATTCGAATTATTAAACAAATCTATAAATAGAAAGATATTAGTTTCAATGGAATTGAGAATATAATTCAGGAAAAGAAATTATAGGAATAGATTAGATATAGATACTTGATTAATTATCTTTCAAATATTTTTGTAATTATAGAATAATCTTATAGAACTCTTAAATAACAATGACCAGGATGTATAACAAATCATTAATAAATATAATTAGTGTGATTAAAATATAATATTGATAAGATTCAATTAAAATGAAGCTGTAATAACTTTTATAAAAATAGTATAAACTATCAAGGTATAGGTAAAGCTTTATATTATATTATAAGAGTAGAAAGATTATAAAAGGATGAAGTCTTACTTATAGGAAGTAAAGCATATGTTATGATATAGGTAAAGACTTATGTCATACTATAAAGGTAAAAAGACTATGAAAGGGTAAGGCCCTACTTATAGGAAGTAGGGCACGCTAGTGGTTTATGCCTGAGGCACGAAGGCAACTACAGATCATGTAGTTGGCGCCGTGACAGCATACTAATAATTTATACTTGAGGTACAAAAGTAGTTATAGATTATATAGTTGATTTCGTGATAATACTCTCTATTAAAAAAATTTAAGAATTCAGATTTATATATTACTTTAGAACACAAAAAACTAAGGAAAGATTTTCTTAGAAAAACCCATTAATCTTTATTATATTCGAATTAGAATATCACTCTTTATTCTTTTTCAAAGTCATCGAATTAATATCTACCCGGATTAAAAAGATATTGTTGTTAATATTAAGGAAGGGGATCTAATATATTCATATTAAAATTATTAATATTAATATTACTAATAATAAACTTATTATATTAAATATAATTAATAAAAAAGATTAAACTATAAATACCTATAATAATCCGGGCTTTTTAATAATCGAAAACTTCACAAGGAAGTTTCAATTATAAAAAAAAAGATTCTTAAGCGTAAGAAAATGAAAAATGAAAACTCTTTAAAAAACCCCACTTTTTTTCAAGAAATATTTTACAAAAAATATATTAATATACTTACAACTACTTTATATAATGAAAAGAAAAGCTAAATTTTTAAAAAAAACATTTATAATACATCAATTCAGATATACAGTATTTCATATTAATATATAACATTCCTACAAAATACTAATTTCAATACTACTTTGTATAACAAACAATACATTATTAATTATAATTAAAGAAGTAATAATTCTTCAATATAAAGCATATATTATTAAAGCAATAGCATTTCAATACTCTTATATTTATTATTTCAATTTTATTTAATCACCTAGCCCTATAATACAATCTTATCCCTTATATCAATAGGGTAATCCGGCAGGCCCTAATATATTATATTCTATATTAATAGGGTAATCCAACAGGAAGAAAGGGAATAGAAGATATTAGACTTTAAGAAGAAATTATATACCATTAATATATTATAGAAAAAAGTGGATATAAAGCTTATAAGTAATAAATTAAAAGTTATAATAGAATTCTTGAAGGATTGGAAGTACTAAAGAGCGAAAATAACTTTTTAAAAGGAATACAATATTATAACTAATCATAGCTTTTATAATATTTTAGAAAAAATTGAATAGAAAAAAAAAGATTATTATAACAAAATAAAAATTGTAAGATTTTTATAAGTATATTAAAAGATCTAATAAAAAAAAGATTTTTAAATATAACAGATCTACAATATAAACAATTCGAAAGACTTAAAAGGATTGCTCGAAAGGTTGCCCGTAGGTTTTAATAAAGAAGTTCGGGGGGGGATAGGTTTTTATTTCCTTTTTCCATTTATTTTATTCAATTAGAACCATATATAGGCATATCATATGGTCTTAGTATAACTATATAGACCAAATCGATTATAAATTTACTACTACTATATTACTTTTTGATTTTATAAAATTCTTTTCCATATAAATTATTAAAATCAAAGAGTAAGAGATAATAGGATTATAAAATAACTCTTTATAAATATTATAGAAATATTATTATGAAACTAGTATTTCTAATAAAGGAAAGAGGAGAAAGACTTTAGAGAGTATTTAATATAATATATAGGGGGTATAATAGAATAAATAGGAATGAATTGTCTTTTTTTGAACTATATAATGAAGAACTATAAATACTAGCTATAGGTAATGTCACGTGATCTGTTCATATCTTTCCGCGTATATTAAGAGGGCTATTATAGTAATAAAATTCTATTTTTATTTTTATTTGATTAAAAATCCAATATTATGAGTAAAAATTCATAAATTCTTTATATTCTTTATATAAGAAAGAACACTATTATAATACTAAGCTAAGAGTTCTTTATTTGAAAAGAAATCCTTTAATTAGTTCTCTGTTTAAAGTTATAATTTATTATTTCTAAAAAATTTAACGTAGTATGTGAAAGCTTAGGGTTATAAGAAAAAATAGATATAATAATAGATTTTCTTTATTATAATATTGATTTCTGTCGGGACAGAAATCATGTGACCGCGCTAGCTTTAGCGCTAGCGCCTTTCGATACTATAGCGATATGTTCTATAGAATAAAATTACCGCTCTTCTTTTTAGTCTTAATTAGATTATAAATCAACGATCAATTGTATTAATTATTTTAGTAAGAGTTGAGGCCCCGGCTTATTACACACCACCCTTTTTCGTGACAAAATCCCCGCAAAAATACTGTTTTCTCATATAAATTAATTATTTTTATAATTCTTTAACTATTCGAGGAATTGATTTGAAAATTATATATATAAGAAATAACTATATAAAGAATATTCGGTTCAAATTGTTCTTTGAAATTATGAAAATTGATAAAGTTATAGGTTTTTAAAGTTGAAACTTCTCAAAATTTATAATATATAATGCTTTTCCTATATAAAAACAGCTTTTTCAAGTTTTTTAATACTTTTAATTTTAAGAACTTATAAATTTCTCAAAGAAATCATCAAAAATATTTCATTCGTTTTTTTAAATCATTTCAATGATTTTTAATCTTTTGTATTATTTTTATAAACTTAGTTTATAAATTGATTGAATTAATATATAGTTTAGAAGTTGAAGAAATGAGGGTTTTTGGTGTGTTTTCGCTTAGTATGCGATAAGCCGGGGCCTGAACTCTTACATTTTTAAGCTCCCCTGACCTGGAGCTATATAATAATATACAAAAAGTGATTTCATAAATCATCTCAAAATAAATAAAAATTATAAATTCATTGTATTTAATTGTTCTTATGTATATATAATACCATCTTTATCAATTGATTAACACCTCTTATATTAATGCACTTTTTATGCGGGGAACTTTTCATGCCATAAAGGGTTGGTACGGATTCTTTTTTTGCTGGACTAATGAATTCTACTCTACATGGTGCCCACTTTGCGGTTAAAAAGGTGCGGGTAAAGGAAGCATCTGAAATGGGGCGACCACATTTGAATACAAAGTAGTCCACTTTTAAGGATTCTTCCAATTATATATATCGCTCAAAATATACCCCTAACCTAGTCCTTTATGAATCGGGTATAGGTCAACCTGAGTTTGGTGAGTTTTAACGGAACAGATTCATGCAGCACAGCATTGACTATTAGGGATCTTTATTTCAACCAACCATACCCCGAGTCTGACACTATAGGAATAAATGATGCAGGTGGCTATTGGAGTTGTATATGAAAGCGTAAAAGTACATCGAAACTTACATTGTGTGTCCTGCTTATATCAGTCATTTAGATTGGCACGCTTTTTTGTAGTTTTATTAAAATTGTAGAGGCAAAAGAAAAACTTTCCGACAAACTCTAGTACTGATACAAGAAGAAACCCAGCTTCGCTTTCCAAGATACTCAGAAGACAGCCCATTGAGGTGATTGCTGTAATTTTCTTCATCGTAATGGATTCAGTCACGCCGCGGGACTCTTCCCTTCCAAGAGCACGAAGACCGACGCATATGCGTTCATCAAGAACTGTCATAATAGGAGCTCTATGTATTTGTCTTTTAACGGTATGTGACAAATTATTCTCGCCGCGGAAGTCAATACTGATACTGACAAATTATCTTAGCATACGATGCTTTATGGATTTGTATGTCCTCTATTTAGCTCGAAATGGGGACTCTTCTAATGAAGACGTGGACAGATACTGCCGGTACTTCCTACCGCGCTAGTCACCCGGTTCTCAATCACAGATAAAGATGGTATGTCTCTCTCTCTTGGAAATGAAGAAATAGGCCACAATTGACAATATCAAGTGAGTCGCTGGATTGGCATACTGCTTACTGTTGAGGCGTTGGCGACTCTTCTTTTCAGCCCCGGAATCGGCTATGTGATAAAGTTCATGCAAAGCCGGCGTTTTACTTTGTTAATTGGAATTTTACTTCTTGTTATTGCTATGGTAATAATTGCTGTTTCCAAATTAATAAGTGTTCTCGTCGTTGGCCGAATTGTACAGGGTATTTCGTCTGCAATTATCCAGGTGGTGAGTGTCACAATTATATTAGATTGTTCACCCGAAGATAGTGTTGGACAATCCATGGGTTATGCTGGCGCGGCTATGAACTTGGGATTTCTAGCTGGTCCACTTCTTGGAGGAGTTGTGTATCAATTCTTGAATTGGAATGGTCTTTTTGGGGTTGTTGGAGGCCTTTTGGTTCTCAATCTGGTCGTACCTATTTTAATTCTACCTCTTGAACGACAGCCTCAGGATAATCCGGCATCCCGGTCATCTCAAACAGAATCAACATCACAAGCTAGCACACAGGCTATCAAGTCTTTTTCGTTATTAGATCTGTTACGCAAACCTGCCATGCGAGTAGGGCTCTGGGGAGTGATTGTGAGCGGCATCTTCATCTCGGCGATCGATACAGTAAGTCTTCAATGACATTAGTTTTTTTGAAAATACATTAAACAGCTGGCATTTCACAGGTTCTTCCAGTCTTTGTCGAGGGACAGTTTGCCTGGAGCTCGCTGGGGCAGGGATTAATATTCTTACCTGTTTCCCTACCTGCATTACTTGAGCCGATCTACGGTAAATTACCCACCTACCCCCTTGGATATGCTAAGCTGATATTATTAGGATGGCTGGCCGATAGGTATGGAGCCCGAATAGTAGGATTCGTGAGCTTCTTGGCTTTAGTACCAATCACAGTCTGCCTTCGGCTCGTGAAGTCAAATTCGATAGGAACAAAAGTACTATTATGTGCATTATTGACCGGCATCGGTGTATTTCTAGATGCGACTGAGCCAGCGGGCTACGTACTTATGGATGATGTATTGAAAGACATGGAAAATAAATCTGGCGGTAGGTATGATTGGAAACTCGTTGTGGCCCGCTCTTTTGGTGTTCAGAATGCTGCTCACTACTTCGGCATTACGATTGGACCAGTCATTATAACTTCACTGCCAGATTCAGACAGAATTGGTGCAGTAGGTCTTCTACTTGGGTGTCTTTCTGCTGTGACATTTTTGCTTTGGGTATGGGGCGTGAAGAATCCAGAGAAGGAAGGACCTGAGACCGAAGATGCAGTTGAACTAGCCCGTCGTGGGGTTCAACCAGGAAATTCAATTCCAGCTACATCTTCCCAGAACTGAAGCTTACCAATCACAGAATTGTATGCGTAGGATGATCGAATGGGTATGTGAACAGATACACTTCATTTGGTAGAGCTAATGCCACCCTCTGTTCTTTCGGCCTCTGGAATTTATTATCTCGGTCTAGAGCCTCCAATGGGGCCAAAATTGATCCTGACTTTCACTTCGGTTCATTCAGCTTTCCTCGATGGCACTTTGTGTGCATGACAGTTCTTTGTCTAGTTTTACAGTAGAATAATACACCTCAATCAGCGTCCCGAGTGACAGAATAATAAGATTTGCAGGACAAAAGACCAGCGGTTTTAACAATTTCAAGATAGTGTAGGCAATATTCATTATCATAGTTTGGTTCAAATGCTGGGCTTAACATTGGATTTGAAGAACACAGCCTCACAATTTTATGATAAACCGTCATCGATGGGTAGGGAGTCTAAGCTGGGCATAGACACACGTGGCCTTGTTTTACTAATGTAGAGATGCCACAAATATCTATTGTCGTTAGAATTTTCCCTAGCATCTGGATAAGAGAAAATTGACTTTTTTTTCAGATTCATTGCATTTGCATATGGCTTCAAAATCACCCAAGAAAGACGGTTCGCGAGTTTATCAATAGTAATACTGCACCTAGTTAATGAGAATTTATTGTTTCTAATTATAACAAGTCTTGCTGCGGAAATAGGGGAAATATTGAAGCTAAAGACAGAATTGAGCACTCAATCACTCCAAGTATATATCCAGTCAAGCACCGGGATTCCTACTTCTGAAAGAGAGCCTTTCGATAATCCACATCACCAATGTAGCCCAAAAATAATATGGTCCGATTATGTAAAATAATTCTTAACTAGCTATGCCGATGTTTAAGCGGAATATTATCAGTCTAGCAAGTATTGTGCAATAAGAGGAAACACGATGGTAGCATCGGATTCAATGACAAACTTTGGGGTTTCCTCGTCAAGCTTGTTCCATGTGATCTTCTCATTTGGCACAGCTCCACTGTAAGAACCATATGATGTCGTAGAGTCTGAAATCTGCGCAAAGTATGCCCATAAACGACAAGATTCGCCGAGATCTTTGCGAATAAGTGGAACAACGCAGATTGGAAAGTCCCCAGAAATACCACCGGCAATCTGGAAAAAGCCGATCGGTGATACTGCCGAAGCCTGAAGATACCAAGCAACGAGTGAGTGCATCTGCTCGATACCGCTTTTCATCATTAGCGGAGACTTAATCTTGCCTTGAAGAGTGCAAGCAGCGAAATAGTTCCCCAGTGTTGAGTCTTCCCACCCAGGCGTCCATATCGGTAAGTTTTTTTCGGCTGCGGCTAGGAGCCAAGAGTCTCTGGGATCTATTTGATACGAAGATTCGAGTCTACCAGAGCGGATGATGCGGAAAAACATCTCATAAGGGAACAGACGTTCACCTGTTTTTGATGCCTCCTCCCAGACCCAAAGTACATGATGTCTTAGCCTCTCGAAAGCTTCATCTTCGGGGATACATGTGTCCGTGACTCGGTTCAAACCCTGATCACGGAGCTCCGTCTCTTGCTTCGCGGTGAGCGAACGGTAGTTGGGCAAGCGACGGTAATGAGAGTGGGCAACGAGATTGAAAATATCCTCCTCAAGATTGGCCCCAGTAACACACAGGGCATGAACCTTGTCTTGCCGAATGAGTTGAGCGACAGATAACCCGAGCTCAGCTGTGCTCATTGCACCACCCATAGTGAGGAACATCTTGCCATCCTGGTCTAGTACAGCCTGCCAGCCATCGGCTGCGTCAATGACTGAAGCAGCATTGAAATGCCGATAGTGATGACGAAGAAACGACTTGACGGAAGCCATGTTGCTGATTCTGATGCGATTGAGGTTTTTAGTGATTTGTCCGTTGGACTTGCAAGAATTGAAATGTGTGATGGCTTGGAGTAAGGGAGTACGCAAAACTCAAAAGCCAGTTATTGCTTTCCTTTAAATACAGAGATCATCAGTGGACAAAGTGAGGTCGCAGTAAGCTGCCGAACAAGTACTCTGCGTAATGACAACATATTCTCTAAACAACACTATTGAACGACGGGTGTATGCCTAGTCGGTGCAGATGCATGTATGTGGACATAACCTCAGATGCTCTAGGCAGCCAAGAGATGACCCGGAACCCTTTGATGACCCGCGGAGAATCGGGTTTTGCCAATTATCCACCCTGCCAACGGGTCATCCGCAAGTTCCCCACATCTGCATCTATCAGTCCCGCGGTTATTTAGTGCGCAGCCTAGGATGCTCTACCCTCTGTCTCGTTGGTAAAGTCGGTAGAATTATGGGTATGTCCAAGGTTAATTGTGAAAACCCCTCATCTCACCACTGTTCGTCTGCCTCTTCCATTCTGACCATTGTTCGTATCTGCGATGAATTGATGATAAAAAGTACGACGACAATATCACTCAGCACTAGTGTGGAAAAAGTTAGTCAAGAAACGCCAAGTTACGTAGAATTTACAAATTATTGGTCGTGTTTTTACGGTTAGAATAGTTCTTTATAAATTTCATCTTTCATTAGGCAACTCTTCTGCAATCTTACATCATGAAATTAAGACTTAGACATCCGTGCTATCCGCTAGTAATGAACAGGGGCTTGTATTCCTATTCTACGAACCTGAGTGTTCAAAACTGACTTCAATTAATAACAACAAAGAATGAATCTAATAAGAATGAAAACATTTTTAATTTTATTACAATATATTCCTTCAAGCTTAGCTCCATCTTTAACATCGATATGCCTATCTTCAAGGAATGGCTCAACACTTGTAGATATTATTTTCTTTCTTAGTCTATCGGACTTGCAATACAGCTTGTAGTTCATTTAAAATCAATAAACTTAAGCTCAAGAAACTATAAAAGGAACAGCATCTTGATGATGAGACCTAGTAGACACTGCTCTTGCCGAAGTTATGGGTTAAAATCCCTCATCAAACACTCCAGTATACATCATGAATTGATGCTCGGTCACACATGCTGCATCTGAAAATACTACAGCGCTGCATGCAGAGCTATGGATTACAATGTACGGCTAGCCACGGAAGAAATTTTGTAAATGAGAACCAACAATTCAACGACATTCTTTCAATGACGGTACTCGGTCGGACACACTCAACAAAATGCATCTTTCTACCGTATATGAAATAGCGTACAGCTAACCTATGTAACTGCAATTTCGAATGTACAACAACAGTGTGAACGTAAAACTCAAATAAACTATTTGTAAAATCAGAAACCTTGCGAAATATACGTAGAATGAATGTAGTAAAATCCTATATCAATGAAATTAAACAATTTTTAATAATAAAGTAAAAGTTCATTAATTAATGTTCGTATGTAATATTTAAATATGAATCCTTGTATATTAATAGTATAACTTATAGTAAACCAGGTCATATAAGGAATCAGATTAGATATCTTTAATACTAATGTTTTAGTATCTTTATTATACATTTTTATATTTATATAATGTCTAGTATAATTAAGTACTTCCGTTGATTACATTATACTTTAAAATATCTAAACTAGATTTCTATTGTTTATATATTTACGAGTTACTATAAATAACTTTATAGTAAAATTTAGTATAAAAGTATTTAATCTGTTTTCTAATACAATTCGATTTACTTTAAGTTATATTATTTGATCGAAATTTGGTTTTAAAAAAGATCTAATAAAATTAAATGGAATTGAAATTATTACGGTTTGATCATGATTAATAGGACTAGAGTAAATATATTAATATTCTATACGAAAGAAAGAGTAGTTACTAGTGAGTAGCGAGTATAGGAGGTGAATAACTTGAGGCTACTACGCTTAGCTAGCTAGAAACAAGTAGTAAATCCGTATTATAAAAAGTATACTATATAAATTTAATAAAATAATAATTGTTAAAAGATTTTAAATTACTGATTTCGTTTGTTTTTTTCCTTTATTAAAACAAAAATAATTATTCGAAAAATAATATTAAAATATTAAAATAAATAATCGATAGATATATTAATTTTAATAAAAGACCTTACCTATAGAGTTATCTAAATTAAAAAGTATTAATGTATATTGTAGATTTATATTTTTTTATTAGTATGAACTAAAAAAATTCAATAAATTTATAAAATACTCTTAGAAGTATATGTATTCTTTATATCTCGAATAATTAAAAGAGTTGTCTATTTAGAAATTAGTAATTTAATAATATAATAAATATAGAGCTTTAAACGATTAAATGAACTAAATATTTAATGAATTAAAGTGGCTTGATTACGAGGTAGTACAATACGATGGTTTTCGTGATGTAGAATTTAAACAATTTATATAAAATTATTAGATAAAAAATTATTAGATGATATAATAAATATTAAATGATGTAATAACTATTAATATATCTATAAACTTTTCGAATCAATTCAATTTTTAATAAACTATAAAGTTCTTTTGAAATCTAATTTTCTAATCTCTTTTAATAAAAGCTCTAATAAAAATAAGTCAAATAAATTGAAAGTTCCTTATATGTTAAACATTTTTCAATAGGAGATTTGTAAAAATGATAATTTCAAATGTAGTATGTAGAATTTCAATTTTTCAAAACATTAATGAGACACCAGAAGTCTTTTAGGTCAAATATTTATATATAATAAATTAAAACTCAAATCTATATTATAATAATATAATATAGTTCATTAGTAAGTAGGTTATATTACTATGTAGACTACTTTAAAAATAGACTAAAATTATAAATAGAATGAAACTTTAATTCATTATATAAACCGTAATATTAAAGTTAGTATTATAAAGATTACATTATTTAAAAGCTCTTAACTCATTCTATCTAATTATCACTTTCTCTTTTTTATTTAATTAAAATAGACTTTAATAAGATAAATAAAAGAATTCTAATTATCTAAGTTACAAAGCTATAAAGCTATAATACTATAATATTATGAATGCGATAAAAGACTTTTATTAATCGGATAGTCAGAAGCGCGATTTACTTTAAGCGAGTTGACTTTTTTATGTATATATAGTATTACGGTCCTCGTGAATAGTAAGATTATTAAGGAGATAAACCTCTAATAATTTGAATATAAAACATTAGAATCGACTGAAATAAGTAATAATAAATAATATTTCTGTTCTTTTCTTTTTAAATTAATAATATTAATAAAATTAGTCTATAATATAAGTTTCATCTTGATATATATTTCGAAAGTAATTATTATTATCATCATGAGGATAATAAAGTCGATATAGTATTATGATTTATACTATTATAATATTACTTGTAGTTTTAAAAGCTAGAGCTACGAAAATTATTAATATAGTATTGAAAGGCCCTAGCGCGATTACTATACGCGGAAAATACGTATAGATTCTAGAATATTGTCTATAAATAGTATTTATAACTCTTTTTTATATGATTTAGAAAAAGATAATTAATTTTTATTTGTTTTACTTTACTTCCTATATATTATATAAAAGCTTCCTAGTATCTTTTCTTTTTTTCTATTAATATACGCGGAAAAACACTTATAGATCATATAGTATTATCTATAGCTAGTATTTATAGTTCTTCTTTATTTGATTTAAAAAAAGATATTTAGTTTCTAATTATTCTATTTTATTCTTTATATACTATAAAATAGCTTTTTAGAACCTTTCTCCTTTCTTCTCTACTAATAGTATTACTTTTATAATAATATTTCTATAATATATATAAAGACTTATTTCATGACTAATAGTATCATCGTAAGGATGATGAAGTTAATATAGTACTATGATTTACATTATTGTAATATTACTTGAGGTTCTAAAAGCTAAGACTACGAAATATATTACTATGATATCGAGAGGCGCTAGCGCTAACGCTAGCGCGGTCACATGATCCCTATCATGATAATGACCCTATTACCTTCTACTCTTTTATACTAACTATACGTATCTACTTTCATAATAATATTTCTATAGTATTCATAAAGGTTTACTTTATTACTCTATTACCTTCTACTCTTTAATATTATATGTCTGTTATTCTAATAGATAGATTTATAAATTTCTATTTATCTTCTATTTTTAATTTTAGTATAAGTTTTTTTTTTTTTTGAATTATTTTAATTACTAGGGACCTGCGCGCCCCCGGACCCCTTACTTTTTGAAAAACTATAATATAATAATTTCTATTATTATAAAGATTTAAAAAAAAACTTATTAAATGCTTATAGGCGAAGTTAGTTTATTGATATTTTTTATGATTTTCATAATATTCTCTTTTTAGAATTATAATTTAATTATTTTATTTTAAATTATATTTTATTACATAATACTTATAAGTCATATATTAATTTTTTCATTCGAATTAATAATTATATTATTAGACTATTAAAGCTTTAATCCTAAAATAATTTTATTAATATGAATCTTACTTTACTCAATATATTACCTTTAATATTAATTATGTAAGCTTGAAAGTCCTTAAAAGGATTTAATTTCAATTCATTATATAGATCCTATAATTAAAGCTAGTATTATAAAACTAGATTAAATGAAAGTCCTTAACTTATTCTATATGATTACCTCTTTTTCTTTTTTTTCTTTCAATTGAAATTGACTTTAATAGAAGAATTTATCGTTAGAAAAAAATATTTCAAGCTATAACGCTATAGCGCTATAACGTCAAGACTATTATATAAAGGGGTTTAAACCAATTATATCGCCTGAATCGAGTCTTAGACTAAGCGAATTAACTTTGTTTTATATATACAGATAGTACTTCGGTCCTCGCGAATAGTAAGATTATTAAGGAGGTAAATTTCTAATAAATCAATTAGTTATAATCGAATAATAAGAAATATTTTAATATATAAGTTATAATCTATTAGAAACAAATAGTGACTTGTATATAAGATATAGTATATATGATATAATCAAGTCTATATATAATAAGAAGATTTTATATACTTAAAATATAGACTACATTTCTTAATTTACAATAATAATAATTAAACTTTTATTTAATATTATACCTTTTTATTACTCTAAATTTTGAAATTGAGATTTAATAACATTAAGAAATATATAACATAGTTTAATATCGAGTAGTCTATATTACTAAATGACTCATTTCAAATTTTGAGATTTTAAAACTAAATTTCTTTTTTTAAAAAAAATATTAAATAGTAATAAAAGATTAGCTTCTGGAAAATCTAGTTTTAATATAAATATTTTCATTATATTATTAAAAAGACTATTATTATTATGATTTTTATTATAAAGGTATTTTTTTAATAATAAGTCTTATATTAATTTCAATTTTTAAAAACAAATTAGATTTTTATAATACTTATATAAACTAAATATTGTATTTTTGATTTTCAAAAAATCATATTGATAAATAAAGAAAGTGTATGATTATATATAAATGAATTCTGTATATATTTAAAATAAATCATTTAGTAATTAATACTAAACTATGTTATTAGAAGTAAGATTTGTAATAGTATTAAACCTATTTTCATACGATATTCATGATTATCATAAAAAATTCGATAAAAAACGAAAAATGAATTCTTTATAAATTAAATATTTACTAGACTTCCTAAGATGTTTATATAAAATGTATGATAAAAGAGAGTAATATTAATATATTCAATCTCTCTTAATATGAAGAAAAAAACTGTTATATAATTATCCTATCTAAATGAATAGTAATATTATTTCTATTACTAATGAATATTATATTAGATGTAATATTATATATAATAATAATAATAATGTATAATGTTATATAATATTTATATATTCTAATAGTAAATAATATATTGAAGTTAATACACTATATATAATCGAAAAACATAAAGCCTCGATAAATTTTAGTTTTTTCACAATACGATTATTAGTATGTAATTATATTTATAATAGTAAGTTAAACCTCCTATGATATTTATTAATTTAAGTAGTATAGTCTTAACTCGCGCTACTATATTATTATTCGTAAGATACTAGAAATGAACTCTAAGAGTGGCCCGTGCGCTAATCAAGAACACTAATAGCTTTATAATTAATATTATAAATAAAAGTATTTAAATCGAAATTTAATGATTGAAATTTCTTGAATTATTAATAAAAAGTACATTAAATATTTCTTGATGTTTCTTTAATAATAATAAAATGAAAAATAGATTTCATATAAATTATTATAATTCGTCTTTTGAAATCAGTAATATTTGATAAGGATCCCCAGAATCCCAAGGATTTGATTGGTTCATAAGCCCTTCTAAGCGATGGAGCTCATTTCTAACACTTCAGGGGATAGTATATCAATTTCATCGGCGGCCCTCCGTTGAAATGCCCTCTGATGGTTCATTTAGTGTCCTCTGATCGCCGAACAGATGAAACTGAATTGATCAACCAGATCGGGTAAGACTTGAATCGCTACTTCATACGGGTATTATCATAGCCAAGCTTATGTCTAAAATTTCTGCATGCGCAGAAATACTTTCATAATTTTATGGTTCAAGGCTAACGTGGTGCCTGGAGTTTGGTGGTACAAATACAGGAGGCCTCCCATGGAATGAATCATTGCAGCGCCTTTTCGACGATCTGGTACCATATCAGCATACTATATACTTCATAGATTTCGATATCCATAGCATTTTATTAGCACTCTTTTATTATGTCGAGCTTAGGTATCAGCACTTGCGAGCGACGATTCAAATCAGCAGAACAATTGTTGAATAATACTATACATCAGCGTATAGCTCACATAGAACAGTTTCCACAGATACTTGGCTTGAATGATTCTTTTTTTGTTGCAGATATAGAGGAAATCCGACGTCAACATGATCTCTGGGTATCTCATTTGCATTTTATTCGGCCATTCTATGGTAAGATAAAGCTTATACAATTTTTTATTCTATCAAACTGATTTGCAAAAACAGCTGTAAAATGCAACACCGATACAACCTTACTGAAAGTGCTTAGACAACTCGATGTCGGCTTTGACTGTGCATCCATAGATGAAATACATACTGTATTGTCTCTAGGTACCCATCCAAACAATATCATTTTTGCCAATCCATGCAAGGCACCTGAAGCGATTGCTTTTGCTCATAAGGTCGGCGTCAAGAAAACAACCTTCGACAATCTTGACGAGCTTGATAAAATCAAAAAACATATGCCTGATGCACAACTGCTGCTTAGAATATTTGCAAACGATCATACTGCTATTGTTGCCCTTGGAGAGAAATATGGAGCTCCACTCGAATCAACCCATGCGCTCCTTATGCGCGCAAGAGACCTAGATATTGATGTTGTAGGAATATCTTTTCATATTGGTGAGTCGGTGATCAAGCTTCTATGATATAACCTGTATTCTGTGGGCTAAATGAAATTTGAGGATCCGGTGCTTCAGATCCAAACGCAATTAGAAAGGCCGTTGCCCATTCTAGAGTAGTCTGGAAAATTGCACAATCGGTTGGATTTTCTTTGAAAATTCTCGATATTGGAGGTGGATTTCAGCCTACAGAGTCTCTGTTCGAACCCATGGCCACAGCTGTATGTAGCGCGATCTCGGAGGCGTCATTCCCAGAGAAAACGACATTCATTGCCGAACCTGGTCGGTTTTATGCGCGCAACGTCTTTACGCTTGTTTGCCGGGTTTTTTCGCGCCGAGTATCAACGACGGAGTCTCTTGAAGCACTAGAAATGCTGTATCAAAACGATGGTGTCTATGGAAATTTCATGAATGGGCTTATTGAGAAGGAAGAGTATACACCGATATTGATAAGAAGCAGAATCAATGATGACCTAGCGCGTAAGACTGGGGATCATACTTACACAATCTGGGGTCCGACATGCGATAGCACAGATTGTGTCAGCCGCAAAAGTACTTTCGCGTGTGAGGTCAAGGTCGGAGACTTCTTGGTGTACAAAAACATGGGAGGTAAGAGCTTGAGCAGGCCTATAATGTTTCTAGATACTGACTATCAGTGCAGCATATACTTCAGCTACAGCGACACGTTTCAATGGATTCTCCAGTCAGAAAGATACCATTTATATCTGTAGCGGCTCCGACGACTATTCTTAAGTTGAGGATTGCAGCAGTGAGGAGAAAGGTCGCTCAGAATTGACCAAAGCATTCAGAAGTCCTATCGTTGTTATCTAAGAAGAATGCTTTATCTCTGGCCAAAAGTAATGTTTACACCTGTCATTCTTTTGCTTTCCAATTATATCAGGCGTTTTTGAAAAGCAAATGCGTTTTCCAGATTTCCAGTAGCAGGAGATCAAATTATTTGTCAAACCTCCTAAACATATCAGCTAGATCATTTTTGGTAGAAATTAGAATCACTCGAGAATCACATGCAAGTTGTATCACTGACATCATCAGGTGTATGCTATGTCAATGGAAGTCCACGTGACATTGATGTCGTTCGAAGACGTTCGGCGACAGAAAATGTAGTAAGATAAATCGTGCTGAATTACGTATCTATTAAGATAGTGGAGTTGTCTCCAATATCTCCTTCCTTCTCAAACACCAAACGGCTTTGAACTCAAATTGAAAGTTAAATTACTTATAAGTAGCATCTCAATGGTAATAATAACGACTTCATAATAGGTTTAATTTTATTTATTTATTTATTTATTTATATTAATTAACGTCTGTCTTGAACCTCCCTAAGGGTATTTAGACGTGCTAAGATAAGGGACTATTTGAGCGGCGTGATCGTCGCAACCGAATTTAGCAATTTAACTTCAATGCCAGGGGCTGTTCGCTCCTCTGCAGGTGCGATCCACTTCTGTTTCCAGAAGGGTACGTCTGATCCGGGTTCTTGTTAGGGTAGAGCTTGGTTCCCGGGTGGATAGGCTCGTTGTGGGCTCCGATCCCTATGGTGAAGGAGAAGAAGTGGGAGTGGGTTGCTATTTGTTTAGCCGAGCGGCAAGGCTCTTATATTGTATATTGGGTTTGCGGTTTTTAGGGGTGTGGTATATTCGAGTGATCAGTTGAGTGGTAAGTTTATAAAAGGGGCGGCGGGCTTTGTTGAAAAGATGGTCGCTTTCTAAGGGTCCTTTAGTAGTTAGGACAGATCTGAGTGTAGAACTCTGAGTCGGTAATCAGCTGAGTGAGCTTGCTAGGTGTGTGTAAGAGTTTCTTGATATATGTGATCGCCTGTTTGTTAGATTGTATTTCTACAGGGGCCAGGGGCCAGTCTGAACGTTTTAGGTTGTTTATAGTGCATTTAAAGAAGTGATATGGTTCCTTAGCGCTGCCGCATAAGCAGTCCAGCTTGTTGTTTTGATGACCAAATCGCTGATGGTAAGCGGCGTAGTCGCCATGACCTGTTTTCATAGCTAGTAGTCGGTGAAGGACTGCTCTTGGCAGAGTTAGTTCCTTCGGCTCCTTTGTGTTGTACTTGGGAGACCATTCTTTATAATTAGCAGAGAGAGAGGGATTCATCTCTTCCCACCACTCAGTCTCTGCGCGTAGGCGCTTTTGGCGAACGATCGTCCGGACACCGCTAATTGTTGGTAGCTTGTCGATCGCCTGGTCCATGGGTCCAATTGCGCCTGCGTTTGCTAGGCGGTCTGCTTCCTCATTCCCTTCGATCTCCATGTGACCAGGTGACCACTTCACTCTAATGTCAAGTTGTTTCATTGCCTTATGGCACTTATGGAAGGCCCATTGCGTTGTGGGCGGCGCGTTTCCGCGAACACCCCAGATGACCGATGTACTGTCAATACACATCCAGATCCGGCCACTCGGGGGATCTTTAAACGTGCTGATCAGGTGCTCCAGCCCTCGCCACGCTCCGATCGCTTCTGCATCGAACACATGTGAATCGCTCCGGATCTGCTTGGATCCGGAGGCTAATTGAGTGCCATTGTGATATATTACATATCCGTATCCGACACAGTGTTTACGATCAATGGTTTGTTCTGATCCGTCGGAGAAGATCGTGTAGTCCTCAGGTGGGAGTTGCAGCCACCACTCTTTGAAGGCTTGAGCTGCTTCCTCTTTGGTTAGCCCTTCCGTCGGATCCGTTCTGCAGCCTATCGAGAAGTGCGGGCGAAGTAACTTCGGCCGTTGGGTCTCTGGGATGAGGAGGCCGAGCCGTTGGATTCTTGTAAGGGGCCTTCTAGCTGTGCCTGCTCCTCGCCCGCGCTTTCGTACTGTGGGTTTCAGGCGGCTCACTAGCAGGTGCTGATTGTCGACCGTTTTTAAGCGGAGTGCGAATCGCAGCTTGGCGTGTTCTAATGCGACTATCCCCGATGGCAGGCCGGCTTCTTTGATAAGAGCTGCGGTCGGTGTAGTTTTGTATACCGGGATCGCTCCTCTTGCGGCGGTATTGATCACTTTGTTGATGTAGCGGAGATGGCCTTTGATACCTGTGCCTGTGCTTGCTTCGCTTTGACCGAGGCTCGGTTTGAGTTTGCCAGCGTACCATACTTCAGTGCCGAATAGTGCTACTGGAAGGACGCAGGTGATCACTGCTTTTCTCAAGTAGGAAGCTGGTGGCCCATGCAGAGTGCGGGCGATCGACCTGATGTGCGAGGCTACTTTCATGGCTTTCGCTGTGCGTGTTTTGACATGTTGTAGAAACGAGAGCCGACGATCGAAGAAGACACCAAGCCATCTTAGAGTGGGTTGAGTGCTTCCACTCGTTACAATCGGTACTGGAGTGATTATCAGATCCGGGTTAACGACTAGTGGTGGGTTGGTGGTATCGTGTCGTCTGGTTATATGGAGTAGCTCGAATTTCTCTGAGGCGAATAGGATTTTGTTCTCCTTACCCCATCGGATGATCTGTCGAACGCGTCGTTGAAGGATCCTGGCATTCGTGGAGAGATGCTTGGAGGAGTGATAGATCGCAATATCGTCAGCGTAGCCAAAGCGATATTTGGTATCTCGGTTGAGGAGCTCAGCGAGATATAGCATATAGAGTATAGGTGATAGGGGGGACCCCTGAGGAGTACCACATGCTACTGGGTATTCCTCTGTTGTGATGCCTTCGAGTCTTACTCTGACTTTCCTATTTGTAAGGAACGAGTCTATTAGTTTGAGCAGCGGAGTTGGCCATCCTTGCTTGATCATTCGGCTCAGGAGTCGGCGCTTTAGGAGAGCGTCAAAAGCTCCTTGAACATCCATTGTAACAATCGAGACCACATTACCCGTTGCTAATGAAAGCTCCGCATCGTGAGTGAAAGCCGCCGTTAGATCAGTACCTGATCTTCTGGGGAGCGCTCCGCAGTGCTGCGGGCTGATTACCTTGTGTCTCAGGGCTGTCCAGGATATTTGACTAGCTATATACCGTTCGAGCCCCTTACCGATACAGGAGATCAGGGCTATCGGTCGCCACGACCGCGGTGACGTTTTGTCTTTCTTGCCCACCTTAGGGATCATTACTACTTCCGCTAGCTTCCAACCTTCTGGATAGTAGTTTAGAGCTAGGCAAGATGCAAATATCTCCCGGATCAGTGATTTGACGCTCGGCCAGCATGCCTTGAGGATGCGCACAGTGGCTCGATCCACTCCAGGCGCAGTGCAAGTAGCTCCTATAACATGTTTTTCCACTTCTTCTGCAGAGATCGTTCTTTTCCAGGGGAGTATCCCTTTGTGTGCTTGATTGAGCAGCGGATCGTTTGGTAGGTCGTCGTCTGCCCTGAAACGATCCAGAACCGCTGTGAATAAAGCATCTGCCTTCTCTTTTGTATCGCAGATCACCCGCTCGCCGATTATTAGGGAGGGGGATTTCGCATTACTTTCGGGGGTTAATTTGTGCCATCCCATAACCCGATAGAGTTCTTTGTCGTCTTTGACTCCGTCGAGACGCATTGCCCAGTAGGATCTCTTGGCTTGTCGCACTACCTTTTGTAAGAGATGAGTAGCATTAGTCTTCCTTTCCGGGTCTGATCCCCTCCGTGCTTCTATGTGTGCTCGGTGGGCTTCTCTGCACTCGTCCGTCCACCACGGCGAGGCTTTTCCTACCTTCCGATCAATCTTGCCGATTGCTCGGATCGCTTTTTCTAACGCATTCGCCAGCTCACTGACGTGGGTTTCAATCTCAGTTGTAGTCTGAATGTCTACATCATTGAGGTGAGCTAGCTGGTTGGCCATTAGTCCATCTAATCTAGGCAGATCCACTTCCTTTATCCGATAGCGATACTGATCCCACTCTGTTGTTCCACGATTCGTCAGAGTAGTGACCTGGGTAGCATGATCAGATCCACAATGGAGTTCTTCCAGTACCTCTGTATAAGCGAACGGTATGTTGGAGAAGGTCAGGTCTATCACGTGCCCTCTTGCGTGAGTGGGTATGCCTGGAGTACCTATAAACTCCATGCCCTGCTCGTCTGCCCATGTTGCGAGCTGTGCCCCCTGGTTGGCTGTGATCACCCCCGGTTCCCACAGATCGTGCTTTGCATTAAAGTCCCCTCCTACGACTGTACGCTCATTTGGAACCAGGTGTGTAATGTAATTAATAATATCCAAAGTGCACGGAGCTCTATAGACATTCAGGATCGAGTATCCATTGACTCGTATCCAGAGTAGGTCTCTGTTTCCGAGTCGACTCATTTGCTCTACTTTCAGGTTCGCGCTTTTTCGTATATATGTCATGACCCTAGGGCCTTGCTCGTTCTCCTCCAAGTCTCCTCGGAGGTTCCAGTTGTCGGTCGGCTGATATCGATCGTATGCGTTGTGATTTTGTGTTGTTGAATTCCAGTATAGTCTTGGCTCCTGTATACAGATCACATCTAATTGAGCCTCCGCTGCTAATTGTAGTAGTGTGATATGATTCGCGTGTCCCCGGCCTGCGTTCGCCCAAGCGATAGTGAGGCCTTTGTTTCTTTGAGTGTACCCATTGATTGCATCACTCATAGAGAGGGTCTAGGTGCAGTGGCAACTGTTATAGAGTTTTCTGTATCGATCATCTCCAGGTCTATTGGAGTGAAGGCTTTCTCTGCTAGCGCTTCTATATTGAGATTCCGTTGGCTCTGGTTACGAGCTGAGCGTGTGCGTAATCCGGTTGGTGCGATCGGCAGACTTGTACTGAGCCTGCGTGGGCGCTTGCTGAGGCGCTCATTCTCATA